CCCAATCCCTCCCATACTAGTCCTCGATAACCTGTACAGCCAAATTGTATTACTATGTCATGTTTTGGTTTTTTTGTTTGTAATTGCCTATGAAGAAAGAATAATAGAAAAGTAACAGCAGTGCCAGATTTGTTGCACAACCCCTAGTAACAGTTGAGTAAAATTAATCATGAATTCATGGCAACTTACTTATTTTAGTTGTGTAAAGAGACTAACCTCACATTTTGCCAGTTCTTCTTCAACAATGAAACCAGAAAATTAACACTCAATTGCACATTTTTAAGACAGCAACTCCCATGCAGAGAACCTTCTTCAATTGGAATTTGACTGTTGCTTTAGTCTCATTAACTTTAGACTCGACAGATTCTTGATGAGTGACAAGGGTAGGAAACTTCCCTGCATTGGAAGAAAGGGAACTAGTTAGATACGATCAATGGTAACTAACAAACTGAGACATTCCACTCGAAGTGCTGAGAATAAAAAGGATACAACTGCCCAATAAATGTAACTAGTCCCATATATGAAAATCATTTCCAGTGCAACTCCAACAAAGAGATGGAATGTACATCACTACTACAATAATGAAGAATGAAAAAAAAATATTCAACTCTATAACAACCAAACCGATTAATAACCAAACAGCAGCACACAGCATAACAAAACTATGCTACAACCGGAGCAACATGAATACATTTAAGCGACCAAGACAACATCCCAACTCAGGCAACCAACCATCCTACCATTACCTAGCACCTAAGCATAGCAGTGAAACATGAAGTAGCCAAAGTGGACAAAAACAGCGGCGAACTGTCAAACTCAGCAAACAGAGACAGAGCAGATGTGCAAATCTGCACAGATTGTAGGAAAAGCAGCCAAACAGCACATGTGTCCGAATGGAAAATTTGAACTGAGTATGAATTTGATTTTCAATTTGCTCTAACAGTTCATACAAAGCGTAGAGGAAATTAAAATTACAAGGTTCAAATTACATGAAATTCAAGAGTAGGCATGAAATTCAAATTACAATTTCATCAATATTCTTAATTGCCCCCATGACATCAACAAAACAAGCCGAACAAAGAAACAAACTGAGTTAAAATTCTAGGTCCGTATTTGTATCAAAATCACTTTCCATCTCATGTTCTTCGTCATCACCCGAGGTTATTAGTTCATCGTCGTCATCGCAGATGAAATCATCATCCGTAACACCCTCCGGTTGTACACGCTTATTGGACTGAGAAACTTCCATTGAAATAATTTACGATTCAATGTCATCCCGACGTAAAACAACAACATCATCAATAGGCTCAGTTGGTACAACAGTACTATTTTCATCATCTTGTAACACTTCATCAAATTCTGGCACATCCAGCTCTGGCACATCCCAAATTCGTCAATGTTGAAACTTTTCTACGACTCGCCAATTCGGCCCTAACTTCGTATCAGGAATGTAGAAAACTTGTTGAACTTGGCTTGGGAACACAAACGAGTCATCTTTATACCATCGACTTCTTACATCAACAGTTGTCACATGTGGTTCGACGTGCAAAGTTCGACTACTACCGGTGTTATACCATTCACATTGGAACAATACAACCTGGTGTCCAAACAAATATGTCAGTTCCCACACTTTACAAAGGTAGCCGTAGAACTTGATCAACTGGCTTTGGTGGTCGCCTTCCACTACCAACCCACTATTTTGACATTTACGACGGTTATCACGGTCGATAGTATGGAATCGAACGCCATTACAAATGCATCCCGAATATGTATTCACTAAGGCATTAGGTCTATTGGCTAACGACCACATCTCATCGTTTGCTTCAGGTGAGTTTTCATTTCGCAACTGGTTCATCTACACAAGAAAGTATGTCATGTCAATTCAAAGTTAGAATAATTCAACGTTATCTCCACACTTTACAGTAACACATTACATAATCTTATGCGATCTTTGAACCATTTAGGAAATTCTTTGCATTGTCACGTTGCAATGTTGCATGAACTTCCATATTTTTGTTGTAACACGAGCTTGTGTTCCCTAGTTAATACGAAGTACGTCATAAGTAATTGGAATAATGAAGACTTTAAAAAATAAAAACCATGTAGAAAAGGTATGTTACATATTTTATGAAGAAGCATACTCTAGATATTCGTCGACTTCCAAACTGTTGTGTAGGACAAACCAATGAGCCAATTCGCGGTCAGCTACGAACACATCAACTGCCCTTGGGAGTTGACCAAAAGGACGAAGATTTTGAGTGAAAATCACCAACCTTGGAACATTGTCACCCTCATCGTAGTTCCTTTCTTCCCGGTTAAACACCGTTTCAACTCCATGCAAATACATTGAACAAAACATCGTACACTCTTTGGATATGTAGGCCTCCACAATGGATCCTTCTGGACGAGCTTTATTGCCCACAAATCCTTTAAGAAGTCCGAGCATCCTACACGTAAACATCGACGTGATCGTCAGTATGCTCATATTGAACTATAATTAGAAGAAAAAAATTCTGACTCGTTGTTATACTTCTCAATAGGATACATCCATTGATATTGGACAGGCCCTCCAAGCCTAGCCTCGTAAGGCAAATGAATTGCCAAGTAAACCATCACATCGAAAAAAGCAGGAGGAAAAATATTTTCAAGCTTACAAAGTATAAGTACGATTTTTTCATGTAACTTCTCCAAATCAGTCACCCTCAATGTCTTGGAGCACAACTGTTTGAAAAAGTTCCAAACTCAAACAATGTGGTCCCAATCTCGGTAGGAAGGTATCCTCGCATCCCAATGGGAAGAAATCGTTGTAGAAGGACATAACAGTCATGACTCTTGAGGCCAACTAACTTACAACCATACGCGGTGACACAATTGGATACATTTGCCGCATAGCCATCAGGATACTTAATTGATTTCAAGAAATCAGAAAACCCTATTCATTCTGTCGGGGACAATGTGTACAATGCCGGAGGCTTTTGGAAAGAGCCATTCGCATGCCTTATCAAGTGTAACTCCTTTTGTATTCGCATGTCCTCTAGATCCAAACGTGCTTTGTCGGTGTCCTTGTTCTTGCCATCAATGCTCAATAGTGTCCCAAGCAGATTGTCACATATATTCTTCTCTATGTGCATGACATCAAGGTTATGTCGAAGCTTAAGTGTTTTCCAATAGGGTAGGTTGAACAAAATGCTTCTTTTTGTCCAATTCGGAGTTGGATTTTCAGTTCGTTGTCTTTTTTGGTTGGTTGGATGCTTTCCATACGGCCTGTATGTCCCCAAATTAATTTGCTCCAAGATTTGTTCTCCCGATAACTCCACAGGTTTGGACCGATTCTCAATGTCACCGTTGAATAGCTTACTTCTACGCCAATTATGGTTCTCAGGTAAGTACCGCCGAGCACCCATATACCCTATCTTATTTCGCAAACTCTGAGATGATGCATCCATGTTACAATTAGGGCAGGCCAGGTAACCTTTTGTACTCCAACCAAATAAGGAACCATATGCAGGGAAATCGTTGATGGTCCACATGACTGCTGCATGCATTGTAAATATTTGGCCGTTTGAGGCATCATATGTTTCCACACCATGCTCCCACAGATTAGTTAACTCTTCTACTAATGGTTGTAAGTAAACATCGATGTCCCTTCCAGGTGCGGATCGTCCGGGAATAAGCAATGACATCATGACAAATGGATCTTTCATACACTTCCATGGGGGTAGATTGTAAGGCATTAAGATTACGGGCCACATGCTGTACGATGTACTCATATGTCCGAATGGATTGAAACTATTTGTGGCAAGCCCTAGCCATACATTCCGAGGATCCGCAGAGAATTTTGAGATATTTTCCGTTGACACCAAGGTTGCAAAGATTATACATGTCGAGAAAAACAGCTGGAGATATGCGATGGCATAAAGAAAAACGTGTTGATGATGGCATCTTAAGGCATCCAGCCGATGGTGAGGCGTGGAAGGATTTTGATAGGCAACATGCTGTGTTTGCCCAAGAACCACGTAATGTGAGGTTAGGGTTGGCCACCGATGGTTTCAACCCTTTTGGAAATTTGAGCAACTCATATAGTATGTGGCCTGTGGTAGTTATGCCTTATAACCTACCACCGTGGAAGTGTATGAAGCAACCATTTTCCATGATGTCATTGCTTATTCCTGGACCGCAAGCACCCGGGAGAGATATTGATGTTTACTTTAGGCCATTAATTGACGAGTTGAAGGAGTTATGGGAAGATGGTGTAGTTACTTATGATGCCTCAACTGGGGCAAGTTTCCGAATGCATGCAACTGTTATGTGGACTATTAATGACTTCCCTGCATATGGTAACTTGTCAGGGTGGAGTACAAAAGGATATTTGGCTTGTCCCAATTGTAATGAGAATGCATCATCACAACGGTTAAGAAGTAAGATAGGATACACTGGTGCTCGCCGATACTTACCTGAAGACCAACCTTGGCGAAGAAGTAAGCTGTTTAATGGTAAGGCAGATGATTGAGCAAGACCTTTGGAGTTGTCAGGAGAACAAATTTTAAATCAATTGGATTCAGGAACATTTAAACCATTTAGGAAGCATCCAAGCAACCAAAAAAGAAAAAGGGATGAAAATATCGTCCTGAATTGGACAAAGAAAAGCATATTTTTCGAATTGCCTTACTGGAAGACACTCAAGTTACGACATAACCTCGATGTCATGCACATAGAGAAGAACATATGTGATAATTTAATTGGGACTTTGTTGAGCATTGATGGGAAGAACAAGGATACGGAAAAAGCACGCATGGATTTAGAGGATATGAAAATTAGGAAGGATTTGCACTTAAAAAAAATTTGCACTTAAAGAGGCGCGCGGTCCTTTGAAAAGCCCATTACATTGTTCACATTGTCCCTAAAGGAAAGACAAGGTTTTTGTGAGTTCTTAAAATCGATTAGGTATCCTGATGGATATGCAGCAAACATCTCTATATGTGTGAGCACATAGGGCGGCAAGTTATCCGGTTTGAAAAGCCATGATTGCCATGTCCTTATACAACGACTTCTTCCTATTGGAATGCGTGGGTATCTTAACAAGGACATTTCTATTGCATTGTTTGAGTTGGGAAATTACTTTCAACAGTTATGTTCAAAAACAGTGAGGGTGAATGATTTGGAAAAATTACAAGAGAGCATAGTACTCATACTTTGCAAGCTAGAAAAAAATTTTCCACCTGCATTCTTTGATGTGATGGTTCACTTAGCTATTCACTTGCCTCGCGAAGCCATTCTTGGAGGGCCAGTGCAATATCGATGGATGTACCCTATCGAAAGGTATTTTTATGCTCTTTGATGTGAAATTATATTTTTTTTAATATTATAGTATACCCATATATATGGTTTATATAATAATTTCCTATTATTTGTTGAAGATTACTCGGGATTTTGAAAGGGTATGTAGCAAATCGAGCTCACCCAGAAGGTTCAATTGCAGAAGCTTACATTGTCAAAGAATGCCTAACTTTTTGCTCTATGTATCTTGGTGGGATTGAAACCGTATTTAACAGAGAGGAAAGAAATGAAGATGGTGGTGATGTTGGCTCAGGGCATTCAGTTTTTTCACAAAAAGTCCGTACTTTTGGGCTCACTCAAAGGGCAGTTGACGTGTCTGAGAATGAAAGAAAAGTGGCTCATTGGTTTATCTTGTATAATAGTCCTGAAATTGATGAATATCTAGAGTATGTTCTCATTTAGTTAAGTCTATGCAAAATGCTTTTCATTATGATCACACTCAAGTACTAATTATTCACATTTGATTTTTCAAGTAGAGAACACAAGAATCAGTTACAAAATGCAAATGTACATGACATTACAAGACAACAACAAGAAGAATTTCCTAGGTGGTTCAAAGAGCGGGTAATATATAAGATACATAGATAATATGTAACCTCTCATCATAAACATAATTCACTGTTCGTAGATTGATATTAACATCATGCATCCTTGTCACATGTTCATGTAGATAAATCAATTACGAGCTGAAGGATCATCGGAAGCAACTGATGAGTTGTGGTCATTAGCTAATGGTCCTAGTCCAATAGTGAATATTTATTCAGGTTGTATTTGTAATGGCATTCGATTCCACACGAAAGAGCGAGACAACCGTCGTAAAAGTCAAAATAGTGGGTTGGTTGTTCAAGGGGATCATCATGGTATGTCAATTGATTTCTATGGTCAGTTGAATAAAGTTTGGGAAATGACATACATGTTCGGGCATCGAGTTGTGTTGTTTCAATGCGAATGGTTTAACACTGGTAGCAACAGAACATTTCGCACTGAAACACATTTGACAACCATTGATGTAAGAAGCCGTTGGTATCAAAATGACCCATTTGTCTTGCCAAGTCAGTGCAACAAGTTTTTTTATGTCAATGATACCAAATTAGGTGAACATTGGAAAGTCGTAGAGCGATTTCAACGTCGAGGAATATGGAATGTGCTGGAGCTTGAGGATGTAGATCCCGATGATAATGAATTGCCTATTCCGAATGATGTGTTCCAGCAGGACGAGACCACTGAAATTGTCCAAATCAGCATTGCAGATTCCATTAGCAACACTTTACGTAGGACTGATATTGCACCTGATATTATTCCAAGTCAAGTGGTTCTGCAATCTAGTACAAGTGTACATGTAGAGGGTCCAAACAGAGATGATTTTATCTGTGATGATAATGATCAACATTCAAATGATCCTAGTGATGATGAAGATGAATTTCATAGTCATAGTAACTCGGATACAGATGATGATATAGAGCCTTGATTGTAATATCCTTTATTTTTTGCATTATCAAGTCATTTTCATTGTAATGCTCTTGATTGTAATGGCATGGCCTTGTTAATGAAGACATGTTTAGTTACAACAAGTCCGGAATGTTGTACCTATTGCTTCATTGTGGTCCATTTGGAAACATCGGAATCTATCGGAATCTGTTTGAAGCTGTGTTTGTTCTACTGTCTCCTCTGTGTGCTGCTGCTGAAGTGCTCTATGTTTTTTTTTCTCTTCTGTTTGGTGATGCTGCTGAATCTGTCTGAATCTGTCTGAATCTGTGTATTAATCTGAATCTGCTGAATCTGTTTTGAATCTGCTGGTTTAATGCTGAAATGCGGCTGCTGCTTGAATCTGTTTTTTATGCTTCCTGCTGGTTTCTCCTCTGTTTTCCTGTTGGTTTTCTTCTTGTTGGTTTCTCACCAACGGTTATATTACTAGCGGATGTTTGGGCTAGCTCATTGGCGCCAAGTTTGTTTGGTTTTAATAGCTATGCTCCTGATGTATTTGTGTTCATTATATATAATCTTATTTTGTTTGTTGATAAAAAAAAATGAAGACATGTTTAGTGATGATTCAAATTGTAATGAATTTTTTTGTTGATAATTTCTTGACTTGTAATGTGGTTCTAATATTACACTATTAGGTTATCTTATAATTTCATAAATTGTCATGCATTTTAAATTTTTGCTTTTGGTTGCTTACAATTCATTTGTTAGATACAAAGACTACACAGATGCCACCTGGGCAAGCCACTAAGAGGAGGTCGACGACCTCAATGTCAGAGGCAAACCCGGTTGAGCTCCCAGCTGCATCTCCTGTGGATGCATTTGCAAGTCTATCTCCTGTGGATGCATCTCCATCTTCGCAAACAGTTGATATTGGTAAGTGTTACTACATGCTTACTCTTTTTGAGTGATTATGATTAAAAATTTGTTAGTATTGAAGTATGACTCTGTGAGAGACAATGAAAAAAGAGATCTTTGAAGTCACAAACGGCACCTAAAAGATAAAGTGAGAGACAATTGTAATCTGGAACCTTTATTTCACATTGGGACTACCATGCATGCAACATCTGGATATTAGCCTACTAGTGGTGAATGTTGTTTTTAAACTTTTTCCCTTGGCACCTAAAGAATATATATATATATAATGAACTACAATTCAGTAGGTCTCTTTCCTGTAAATATATGGGTTGCCCATACTATACTCTGGAGAAAGATGCACTTAGTTATCTGGAGCAACATTGCCAACATTTCCTTTTATCCCAATTGAACCGATCATAACCATATTAGATCTATCAACCGTTGAATCTTAAAAAAAACACTGTAATTGATCGTAATGATATTAGATCGTAACCAATATCGCTTTGAGCATTACCAAAGACCATTTCAATTGTAACCAACAATACCACTTTATAGCATGACCAAATGCAACAATGAAGAACGAAAACTAATTTTGTTCAGATACAGTGTTTTTTTTAAACTAATTTTGGTCATGACAAATACAAAGTCTAGAATTTGAATTCTGATCTTTTTGGAACCCTAGTGCACAAGCCTCTCGACACGCGGATAGACTGTTTTTGTGTTCATAATGGCCACATCACAATGGAGCAACCTTACCATTCCACCCTTAGGAGTTCTAATTTGTTCCCTACCCTCACATTTTTTCAATTAATTATTTTTTTTTTCTGTTCTTTCTGTTCTTATTTCCTCTAGTCATTTTCTTTGATCCTTACAAAGGGAAATAATAAATTCATGGTATCAATTTGATCCTCTTTAGGTTGCTTGTGATGTTCACAATCTCTGCGCTCTCTGTGATTTTGTCTTTGACATTCCCTCCACCTATGTCCAGCTGTTTTGTGAAGTAGGCAACTCTGTATTTTGGCAATACATTTGCAATGATGTTCTCCATTTGCTAAGATTGAATTGTATTGATCTCTTGGGCAGTGTCAAAGCATTCTCCAAATTCAATATGATAATTATCTTTTGCTGTCAGTCAAATGACTTTTTCACTACTGGTTTTAAGAAAGAAACCAATCAGACTTGGTTGTGTCTATAGCTTTTCCCCTCTCTTTCTATTCCTTTTTGAGTGACATTGCTCCTCCATATGCCCTAAGGTTTTACCTTTGCTGCAGGCAAAGGGCTTCGACTAGTAGTTATTTTTCTAACAGTGGATTCAAAACTATGTTAGGTTATTTATCAAGCACTTCAATGGATTCAAAGCACTGTTAGGTATATGTATCATATTATTCGAAGCAGTTGCAGCAGAATTTGAAGCATTCTGATACATTGGAGTTAGGCTTTCCTTTTCTTCTTCTTTTTGGTTAAAGAGCTTTCACCCTGATATTTGAGGCATTTTTTTTATCCGTGTGATTTGAGATTTGAGGTCTCAGAAGGGAATTCGTGTTTAAACCAACTCTCTGGAGCTCAGACTGCACTGGAAAAGTACAAGATTGGTCTGTCAGTTGTGGTCATTATGAGCTTCAGAGATGAAATTTAACTGAGGTTAACGAAGTCTTAAGCAGTAAAAACTTAAGGTTGAGTTAGTTATCTCAGGAGCTTGCTTCTCATCTTCATTCGATAGAGAGATTACCTTAGGTGAAGGGCAATAAAATGCTTGCTTCTCATCTTCATTCGATGGACCAATTGTTCACCCATGTCAATTATAGGATCAGTGAACTTCAAGGCATGATAGTTAACTCTGCATCTAAGCTTTTGTAAATCTGTGTCCAACCTATTTGAAAGTCTGTAATCAAATTTGTTGAGCTGAACAGCCTTCATAAGAATGAAAACCATAAAGTATTAGTTTTACAATATAGTAAATCATTCAAGGCCAAATCTAGAGGATAAAAACATAACTGTGCAACTCAACAAAACCTTATCCCAAGATTCCCAACTACCAGGGGTTATTGACATGATTTCTGATCTAATGCTTTCATCAGAATTGGACGTAAGTTTCCCCATAGTTGATATTTATGCCATCTAATTAATGTTTTCTAATAGTTGGTCAAAGTGTAGAAGAAACCAAGTTGATTGACAGGATTTTAATTTTCAGCCAGTAGCTCTTTTGCATCTTCTTTTTATGCAGGAAAGGAAGTGACTTTCTCGATGTTAGCTTTCCAAATTTATAGTAGAGTCTGAATTCTTGTTTGAAGGGGTAATATTAATATAAATGGTCATATTTTTTATTTTTATTTTTTTCAATTAGAAAAAAAAGGTATTCTTTGGTAGCATCGTTGCACCCCTTAAGTTTCGGGGTGTAGGTTAGATTTATCCTAACTCATATGAAGAGATTCACAACCGGAATAAAATGAGAATGCATCAACCTCCAACCATGTTCCTAATGTTGAAATAATTTTACCATTCTATGCAGTCGAGGATGATATAGTCAGGATTACAGGCATGTTCAGTCATCTTATCTTAGACATAGTAATCTTATAATCATGAACATGACATAATAGCAAGCTTGAATAAAGGCATATACATTCCATGATGCTTTAAACTTGAGAGTTCTTAAAATCTACAGTAACCTATATAGCAGCAGCAGCAACAACCTATGTACATTATATGACACATAGTAATCTTCATTCACATATGCTATTTAAAGAGAGTTCTTAAAATCTGCTCTGTATATACAGCAACAGAAGTTTATTTAGCAGCAGCCTATAATAGTGTTTCATTTTGTGTTTATAATATAGGTCCATCTGCAAAGCGAGTACGAGGTCCAACTAGGGGTAAGAACAGTAGTAGACTCATGAGCCAACATGGTGGGAAGAAGCTTTTTGTTGGAGTTTCTATTGAGAGGAGGACATTTGTGGGGCTTAATGCCACCAAGGCCGCTAACGAATTGGGGGCACAAATTCGATTGCAAGCCCCATTGCAAGGAACAAAAAATTGGGAGGACGTTCCACCAGTCATTCGAGCAGCTATTGTACAATCCTTGCGGGTAATTTAATTTTTATAGTTGTTGAGATTGAAGTAATTAATATATAAGATGTTTAATTTTCATTTTATGTTTAATTGGGACAGGATAAGTTTGAGATTGAAGGATATGATGAGAGTCCACTTCCACAAGAAATCATTGGCACAAAGGCCACACATTTGTTTAAAGGCTGGCGATATCATATGCATGAACATTACAAAGAGTTGGTGAAAGAAGGTACAGATCCTTGTAGTAAACCATTTGTTGGGGTGAGCGAAGAAGATTGGAGATACATGATTGATGAAGTGTTTCTTGGTGACACACACAAGGTAATTAACTATGTGTAAAGGTAAAGTTAAGAGGTACTATGTGTATAAAGGAGTAGGTGGTGTTTGCAGATGATGGTGTGTTTTTCTAATATTAGTTAATTGGTTTGTGTTGCTTTGGATTGCTGGTTGTTTGTTTTCTTTTCTCTCCTGGTTTCTCACTAACTATTGAGGCTTGTTATGGGATTGTGAAGTCATATAGTGATGTTGTTTGCAATATCCTCTTGTTTATTGATGTTCTTCGTATGTACATGTATGTTTGGTTTCATTAATAAAGGCATTCTTTCTTTTGCTGATAATAAAAAAAAAAAGAAAAAAAAAGGAGCAAAACAGGGGCATGTTCCTCCATGCATCTCAATTGTTGCTGTTGTTGAGAAGCTGACCCCAAGATGGTGTTGTGCAGGTCTTTTAATGACAGATAACCACAACAATTGATAGAGAGAGTTCAACGGTTGGAGTGATAACTTTGACCAAAACAAACAGTTGAGCTAAAATTACCAAGAAGTGGCATAGAATTACCTTTAGAAGCATGAACTAGAATAACAATTAAAGATTTCTTCTTTTCCAATGCAAGAAGTGTGTTTAAGCAAAAATACAAAATAATCAAGTTCCAACATTTCAATTTTTGATTGCCACTTACACAGAGGTATAATAGTTCCAAACTAGATGTGTAAATGATTGTATAGATTTATATGCAATCTTTCATGCTTGTGCCCAAGGGGTGTATATATAGAAATATGACAGAAAGCTCAAAATGCATGGCACGGAATACTCTGCATAAATAGTGCATGTATTAGCAGTCAGCATAACATAGCATGCATATAGCTGAATGATACCAGCAAACACACATCAGGGAGTACCTTGCTTTCATAAAGATTTTCTCTCATTGTTCTTCTTTGTTTTCTATCATATTTAACTAGGTTTGGTTGCCAAAAAAAAGGGAAAATGTTTAAAAAGATACCTGACAACTTGCAATATCCTAAGTGGATGTCTCCAATTCTTCATCATTTTCCGTTAATGGAACAGAGCTAGATAGAATATCTCCAAGGCTCGAATCAGCCTCACCAAGCTTTCTTAAGACTGTTGGAAGTTCACCAATCGAGGCACCAACACTCTTTTCTGTCATTATATTCCCAGGCCAACCAAAGGCGTCTTTGATTTTTTTCACAATTGAGATGCAAAAATCTTCCAACTACAAAGATGTAGCGTATTAAAGAAAAGCAGACAGAAACAGGAAAATAAATGAACGACAGTTTACAATAGTGAAACATAAATGACTAAATATCAAGTGATCAACTAGTAGGCACATGGCTAATGACATCAGTTAGAGAAATATGCAATGCAAAACCCTTTGCTGATGAGGAGTACCACTGGTGTAAGACTTGACATAATTATTTTGTTAATTTCTTCCAAGGTTGTTTTTTTTTTTTTTTTTTTTTTTTTTTTTTT